GGGGTGGTGGCTGATGCTTGTAATCCCAGCGCTTTGGGAAGCCTAGGCGGCAGATCACCTGAGGTCAGGAGTTCGAGACCAGCCTGGCCAACATGGCGAAACCCTATCTCTACTAAAAATACAAAAAATTAGCTGGGTGTGGTGGCAGGCACCTGTAATCCCAGCTACTCAGGAGGCTGAGGCAGGAGAATCGCTTGAACCCGGGAGGGGGAGGTTGCAGTGAGCCGAGTCTGCACCACTGCACTCCAGCCTGGGTGACAGAGCGAGGCGAGACTCCATCTCTAAAGAAGACATCAACAGCAGCAACAGAAAAGCAGCCCAGGTGCAGCAGATTTTCAAAATAAAACCACAGAAGCGGGATGGGAATGGGAAGCTGCCTGGGACGGGTGAACGGACCTTGAGAGAAGCCTTTGATGCGGCCACTGCAATGTGGCTCCTATCCATATGCAAAAGTCTTAGAAATACAAGTCCACACAGTCCTTTTTTTTTTTTTGAAATGGAGTCTTGCTCTGTCGCCCAGGCAGGAGTACAGTGGCACGATCTCAGCAGTTCACTGCAACCTCTGCATCCCAGGTTCAAGTGATTCTCCTGCCTCAGCCTCCCAAGTAGCTGGGATTACAGGCACGTGCCACCACGCCCGGCTGGTTTTTGTATTTTTAGCAGAGACGGGGTTTCACCATATTGGCCAGGCTGGTCTCGAACTCCTGACCTCAGGCGATCCTCCCGCCTCGGCCTCCCAAAGTGTTGGGATTACAGGCATGAGCCACCGGGCTTGCCCCACAACAGTTAATTTCTATCCCCAGACAGTGAAAGCATAAAAATATGACCAGGAAGCCTGGAAGAAAGGGAAAAAAGAGGCCGCACGCAATGGCTCACACCTGCAATCCCAGCACTTTGCAAAGGCTGAGGTGGGAGGCTGGCTTGGTCCCAGGAATTTGAGTTCAGCCTGGGCAACACAGTGAGACCCCCATCTCTATGAAAATCCAAAAAAATTAGCTAGGTGTCGTGACTGGTGCCTTTAGTCCCAGCTACTCAGAAGGTCAAGGATCGCTCGAGCCCAGGAATTTTTTGTTTCTCCTGAGCCCAAGAATTTGAGGCTGCAGTGAGCTATGATCACACCACTGCACCCTAGCCTGGGCGAAAGAGTGAGGCCAGGCCCGGTGGCTCATGCCTGTAACCCCAGGCCGAGGTGAGTGGATCACCTGTGTTCAGGAGTTCAAGACCAGCCTGGCCAGCATGGTGAAACCATCTCTACTAAAAAAACAGAAACAAGTCGGGCATGGTGGCCTGCACCTGTAATCCCAGCTACTCAGGAGGCTGAGGCAGGAGAATTACTTGCACCTGGGAGGCGGAGGGACATTGCAGTGAGCCGAGAGCAGACCACTGCACCCCCAGCCTGGGTGACAGAGCGAGACTCTGTCTCAAAAAAATAAGTAAATAAAACAGAAAGAAAGGGAGAAAGAAGGATTAACTTGCCAGGATCCTGGGGTGCCGCTTTTCTCCACTCAAGATGCTTCTGTGACTGTGTCTTCAGTGGTAAAATGGTGTAACTGGTAGGCCAGGTGTCAACACACTTTTCCTGCAAAAGATCACACAGCAACTATTTTAGGCTTTGTGGGCTAGTCTGTGGCAGAACTACTCAGTTTTCCTCAAAAGTAGCCACAGACAGGACATTAACAAGTGGCTGTGACTCTGTTTCAATAAAACTTTATTGACAAACACAGGCAGTGGGCCAGATGCGGCCCTTAGGTTGACTATGAGGTAGCTAGGTTCAACTGCTAAAAGAGACTCTACAGCCAGGGAGAAAGGGAATGAAGGCAGGAGAGGTGCTTATTCCTGCTTTTGAAGGAAGAAACCCAGTAATGCACACATCAATTCTGCTTGCACTCCATTGGCTGGAATTTAGTCACATGGCCATCCTAGCTGCAAGGGACACTGGGAGATGTAGTCTTTGGCTGGGCAGCCATGGTCCTGGTTAAATAGGCTGTTTATTATAAGGAAGTGGAGGCGTTTGTACAACACATTAGCAGTCTTTACCGCAAATGGGACCTTGATTCTTTCACTTGTCTCTGCCCCTCAGCCAGTTTCAAGCGCCCAGTGGTGATCCTGGGACCCGTGGCCGACATTGCTATGCAGAAGTTGACTGCTGAGATGCCTGACCAGTTTGAAATCGCAGGTGAGACGCCAGATCCCCTGGAAACCTCGTTGGTGAATCGTTTTACAGCTGCTGTTTTGCAGGGGGTGGGGGGAGAGTTGGACTAATGATGGCAAATGTGAGGCAGGCGAGCCACCAGGGCCCCCTCCAATGCCCAGGCCAGACATGCTCAATCAATCCTGCCACTGTTTGCCTGGATTTAGAGCCTTTGAGTCCTTAATACAGTTCACCGGTGGCCACTGCCAGCTGAGGCAAAGTACCGCCTGTTACTTGTTGAAGAGAAGTTTACTGATCTGAGACAGCAGTGAACAGGACAGGCAAGGTCCCTGGAAAAGACCCCAAATTCACAACCATAGATATGACTGGCCGGGCGTGGTGGCTCACACCTGTAATCTCAGCACTTTGGGAGGCCACAGTGGGCGGATCACAAGAGATCGAGACCATCCTGGTCAACATGGTGAAACCCCGTCTCTACTAAAAATACAAAAATTAGTGGGGCATGGTGACGCTTGCCTGTAGTCACAGCTACTCGGGCTGAGGCAGGAGAATCACTTGAACCTGGGGGATAGAGGTTGGTGACAGAGCAAGACTCTGTCTCAAAAAAATAAATAAATAAAAAAGAAAGAAACAAACAGTTTAGGAGGCCGGGCACAGTGGTCAGGAGTTCAAGACCATCCTGGCCAACATGGTAAAACCCCGTCTCTACTAAAAACACAAAAAAGGCAGCAAATCACGCTGCCATGTCTGTACCTATGCAACATGTATGTTGCATGTTCTTCATATGTGCCCCAAAACCTAAAATGCAATTAAAAAAATAAAAATAAATAAAAACAAAAATAAACAAAAAAAGAATAAAATATTAAATCACTTTGACCTAGCAATTTAACTTTTCTAATTCTAGACTGACAGAGTAATCAGAAATTTTGATAAATTTGAATATATAAAATATCACATACAAATCAAAATGTTTAAAGTATTCCAACTGATCATGGTTAAACTATGTACATTCATATAAAAAAATAAATTTTTACTCCGTTTTTCCTATTAATCTGCCTTTAGTCAGCTGATAAAAATAAATAAATTAATTAATAAATTCGCTGGACGCGATGGCATGCCTGTAATCGCAGCTGCTCAGAAGGCTGAGGCAGGAGAATTGCTTGAGCCCAGGAGCCGGAGGGCGCAGTCAGCAGAGATCACACCGCTGCACTCCAGCCTGGGTGACAGAGGGAGACCCTGTCTCAAAACAAACAAACAAAAAAAACAAAAATAGTTAAGATGGCAAATTTTGGCCAGGTATGGTGGCTGATGTCTAAAACCCCCGCAGTTTGGGAGGCCAAGGTGTGAGGATCGCTTGAGCCCAGGAGTTTCAGACCAGCCTGGGCAACATGGCAAAATTACATTTCTATAAAAGAAAAAAGAATTAAATTTTAAAAAGATGGCAAATTTTATGTCTTTAACCACAAAAGCAAAAAGCGGGGAAGAGGTCGTGTCTCCCTCCTTGAATCCCTCCATGGCAGGCTGTGTCTCCTTCCTGAAACTTCACACAATACAAGAGGACTTCCTGGAGGAAGCAATGCTCCTCTCAGGTCCTAGAAGACAGATGGGGGTGACAGTGGAGCTTCCTGAGGGGTCACAGCCTGAGCAGAGTCCCAGAGTTGGGACTGAGCCTGGGAGAGCCAGGGGCTGCAGCTGGGGCTCAGCATCAGGCCCCTGACCCTGTGACCCTGAGCAAGTGGCCTTTTGTCTCTGAGCCTCAGTTTCCCTATCTGCCACATGGGCCTGTACCAGCCGGCCCCACTCCTCAGGAGGAGGTGAGGGCTGAGGTCAGGAGGGGACGTGAGTGCAGTGTCTGGCACTTGGCCAACAGGAGGACTGCTGCTGGAGGGTTTCTCTCCAGGGTAATGGGGAGCCGTGGTGGCTTCTTGAGCAGGGGCGGGGCAGGTGGGCATGAATCTGAGGGCCGGGGGCTGCCCTCCTGAAGCTGCTGGTCCTCTCTCCCGTCCACAGAGACCGTGTCCAGGACGGACAGCCCCTCCAAGATCATCAAACTGGACACCGTGCGGGTGATTGCAGAAAAAGTAAGCCAGGCCCTACTACAGGTGCCTTTCATGGAAGGGGGAAGCCGAGCATCCAACTGAATGTTCTGACCTGTTCTCAGCCCACACCCCACGAGTGCAGCCTCCCATGGAGCCCCTCTAGGAAGCTTTGTGAGGCAGGAGGCCCGAGAGGGCTTCCCAGAGTCAAACAGGGGCAGAGGCAGTGAGACCCAGGTTGGGGCTTGGATGCCCCAGGATGCTGTGGCCTGGGCTATTACCCACCCCCAACCCCAACATGCTAGACCGTGGATGTAAGAGGCTGGGGTCCACTCTGACCTCAGACTCTTCATCTTTCCATCTTTCTCTCTGTCTACCCTGCTGCAATCACCCTCACCCCAACCTCCGCGGGCCTGGCCCAGGACAAGCATGCGCTCCTGGATGTCACCCCCTCCGCCATCGAGCGCCTCAACTATGTGCAGTACTACCCCATCGTGGTCTTCTTCGCCCCCGAGAGCCGGCCGGCCCTCAAGGCACTGCGCCAGTGGCTGGCACCTGCCTCCCGCCGCAGCTCCCGCCGCCTCTACGCCCAAGCCCAGAAGCTGCGGAAGCACAGCGGCCACCTCTTTACAGGTTGGATGTCCCAGGGTAGGCGGGTGGGCCCCGGCATGGGTCTCCTGCGCACACTAATGTCCCCTCCCTGCAGCCACCATCGCTCTGAATGGCACGAGTGACGCCTGGTACCAGGAGCTCAAGGCCATCATTCGAGAGCAGCAGACACGGCCCATCTGGACGGCAGAAGATCAGGTACTGCTGCGGTGCAGGTGGGTGGGGAGCACGGGGGTCCCACAGACCCTGCGCTGCCCAGCTGGGGTCTGCAGCCTGTGTCTGGGGTTAGGGCTTGGTCGGGGGTCAGGATTGCAGCTGAGGTCAAGATGGGACCTGAGATGAGGGTTTTGGCCTGGAAGCTGGGGTAAGATGAGACTGGAGGAGCTGCTTTTTGTTTGAGATGGAGTCTCGCTCTGCTGCCCAGGCTGGAGTGCAGTGGCTCGATCTCAGCTCACTGCAACCTCCGCCTCCTGGGTTCAAGCGGTTCTCCTGCCTCAGCCTCCTGAGTAGCTGGGATTACAGGCATGTGCCACCATGCCTGGCTAATTTTCGTATTTTTAGTAAAGACGAGGTTTCACCATGTTGGTCAGGCTGGTCTCGATCTGCTGACCTCAGGTGATCTGCCTGCCTCAGCCTCCTAAAGTGCTGGGATGACAGGTGTGAGCCACCGCACCTGGCCCAGAGGAAATGTTTTGAGAATGGAGTCAGTGGGGCACGGTGGTTCATGCCTGTCATCCCAGCCACTAGGGAGGCTGAGGCAGAATCCCTTGACCCGGGAGGTGGAGGTTGCAGTGGGCAGAGATTGCGCCACAGCACTCCGGCCTGGATGAGGCTGTCTCACACACACACAAAAAAAACCCAAAAAGAGAATGGAGTCTTCTGGGGCTGCAGTCAAGGTTTGGGACTCAGCTTGGATGTGGCGGCTGAGCCTCGGGTGAAGGGTCAATGGACACAGCTCACCTGGAGTCTGGCAGCGAAGGCTCCACAGGGACTGGAGGCGCCGGGATCCTTGCCTTGATCTGGGACTGGAGTTTGAAGGTGGGGGCTGTCGTGGGTGGGGGCTAGGGTCCTGGCCGGGGCCAGCCACGGCATCCACGCTCACCCCGCAGCTGGACGGCTCCTTGGAGGACAACCTAGACCTCCCTCACCGCGGCCTGGCCGACAGCTCTGCCGACCTCAGCTGCGACAGCCGTGTCAACAGCGACTATGAGACGGACGGCGAGGGCTGCACGGACGGCGAGGGGGGGGGCCCACACGGATGTGGACGATGAGCCCCCGGCTCCGGCCCTGGCCCGGTCCTCGGAGCCTGTGCAGGAGGATGAGCCCCAGAGCCCGAGGGATCATGGGAGAATCTCGGCTCACTGGGAGGCCCAGGTGTGGGGGACATGGGGGGCAGTCCTGGGGAGGGTCTCTGGCGGGGACCCCAGCACAGGGCAGACACACACTGGGAAGCCCGTTTTCTACCAAAACGTCAATGAACACGGCTTCCCTGGTCAGGCTGGTTACCGGGACTCAGACCTGGGGTAGCCGAGACCCACATGGCACTGAGCAACTTCAGCCATTTCTTTTTTTGAGATGGAGTCTTGCTCTGTCGCCCAGGCCGGAGTGCGGTGGCGTGATCTCGGCTCACTGCGACCTCTGCCGCCCGGGTTCGAGCGGTTCTCCTGCCTCAGCCTCTTGAGTAGCTGGGATTACAGGTGCCTGCCACCATGCCCAACTAATTTTTGCATTTTTCATAGAGACAGGGTTTCACCGTCTTGGCCAGGCTGGTCTCAAACTCCTGACCTCGTGATCCACCCGCCTCAGCCTCCCAAAGTGCTGGGATGACAGACGTCAGCCACCGAGCCTGGTTTTTTTTTTTTTTTTTTTTTTTTTGAGTTAGGCTCACTCCGTCACCCAGGCTGGAGTGCAGTGGCACGATCTCGGCTCACTACAACCTCCTCCTCCTGTGTTTAAGCGATTCTCCTGCCTCAGCCTCCCAAGTAGCTGGGATTACAGGCGTGCACCACCACACTCGGCTGGTTTTTTTTTGTATTCTTAGTAGTTAGTGTTTCGCCATGTTGGCCAGGCTGGTCTCGAACTCCTGACCTCAGGTGATCTGCCTCGGCCTCCCAAAGTGCTGGGATTACAGGCGTGGACCACTGCGCCCAGCTGTCGTAACGGTAACACATGTATGTAGCTCTTAGTCTGTATCCCTCAGCATCATCTTCCACACTCTATGATTAGGATGATTTTTCTAGGCTTGTGCAGTACCCAACCTGCTCAACTGTCCACGGCAGCCTGCATGTGGAGCAGCCACTCTTCTAAGACCCTTACATACGTGAACTCATGGCAGTGGCCCTATTAGGACCTGCGCAGAGGAGAAACCCAATTCCCCCTTTGCTGACAAGCTAGGAGGTCTCAGCTGAGGCCTTCCCCTATCCAGCCTCAGTTTCCTCATTTAGGTTTGGGGATGACCCGCAGACTTGTCAGGGAGTTAACACACGGGCAGCACCGCCCGAGCCAGAGTGGGGGATGGGACGATGGCAGTGATTGATCCCGACTTACCATGCTCTGGGGTGAATTGTGAAGCTCCTTTCTCCCTCTCCTCCCAGGTTGACAGCCGCCACCCGCAGGGTCAGTGGCGACAGGACAGCATGCGGTAAGAGCTCCATATTCCAGATTGGGGGCCCCCAACCCTTCCCTTGGGACTCAGACTCTGGGGTTAAGGCAGAGCTCTATATCCAAGCACTGCCGTCATGGTGCCCCTACCCCCTAGTGGGGAAGACAGAGTCTGACAGAGCTTCTGTAAGCTCTGCATCATCAGGGCCAAGGGAGTAGGAATCCACTTCCTGAGGGAGGACTGGGAAGCCTTCTTGAAGGGCAGGACATTGCAGCTGGGGCTTTGAGGGATGCATAGGAGTTTGCTAACAAGGCCCTACCCAGCCGGGCGAGGTGGCTCACACCTGTAATCCCAGCACTTTGGGAGGCCGGGGCAGCGGATCAACTGAGGTCAGGAGTTCGAGACCAGCCTGACCAACATGGAGAAACCCCGTCTCTACTAAAAATACAAAGTTAGCTGGGTGTGGTGATGCACACCTGTAATCCCAGCTATTCGGGAGGCTGAGGGGAGAGAATCCCTTGAACCCGGGAGGCGGAGGTTGTGGTGACCCAAGATTGCGCCACTGCACTCCAGCCTGGGCAACAAGAGCGAGACTGTCTCTAAAAAAAAAAAAAAAAAACAAAAACAAAACCAAAAACAACACAAGGAATGGCCCGATGTGCTTCTCTCTGCCCACACCCCCCGTGCCCAGCACGGGGTCGGCCTCAGTTTCTGGTGGGCAGTTTCACAGCCTCCTCACCCACAGCCTCCATTCTATCTCCTGGTCCCCAGGACCTACGAACGGGAAGCTCTGAAGAAAAAGTTTACACGAGCCCGCGACGTGGAATCCTCTGACGAGGACGGCTACGACTGGGGGCCCGCCACGGACGTGTGACCTCCTCCAGGCTGCCAGCCGGTCTGTCCTCCTCCTCCCTCCCTGGGGCTGGGGCTCAGTTTCCCCACGGAACCCACAACCCTGCCCCCTCCGCCTGGTCTTTAATAAACCGAGTATTTTCGCAGCACCGGCTTCCGACGGCTTCCGGGAGGACAAGGCGGGGGAGCGGGCCGGCCCCGGACTCACTGTCCGCGGTCCCACAGAGCCTGATCCGAGGCTTTGCCGACTGGATAAGCTTTTACTGTTTGTGTATTAGGAAATCATACAGGACCAAGGAACCGCTGGGGTCCTGGCCAGCCAAGGCGGGCCTGGGACGGGACTCCAGGGCCGTGGAGGCGAAGGCACGGTGGCAGGCGGGGGACAGGGCGGTCACAGGTACACGGGCTGCTCCTGGCCTGTAAGGAGGCGGTATGTGGCGGCGGGCATCGTCTTGATGTGCACCTGGGGAGAGGAGGCGGATGGGCGTTCAGGGCAGGTCCCGGGCCCCGGCGGGGGACGCCCCGGGCCACCACTCACCACCTGCACACCTCGCCGTAGGCCTCGGTGAGCAACTGGATGATGCGGGTGTGCGGCATGGCCACCACGCTCTGCCCGTTGATCTCAATGATGCGGTGGCCGACGCGGATGCCCCCACGCTCGGCGATGCCTCCGCGGAGGAGGCTGCAGATCTGGGGGACGCAAGGGGCGTTGCTGCTCAGGGGCCGCGCTTGGGGCCACCCCACCCCCCACCCCGGGCCGGGGCCAGGGCCTCACGATGCCATCCTCCACGCAGAAGCCCAGCTGCTCGCGGGCGTGGGGCCGGCGGATGATGGCCGTGGTGACGGGTGGGCAGTGGACAATGCTGAGTGTCACTGATGTCTGCGACTTCGTCTCCTGTGGGACGGGGGCTGTTGGCGTCACTGAGCTGCCAGACAGCTTGGCAGGCTGTAGCTCCCTCTGGGCCTCAGTTTACCCTCTTGTAAACCAGAGACCTGGAGTCCAGGGACTGAGTTCTGGTAGAGCCTCAGATGTGGTGAAGGACAGACTCGGGCCCGGTGGGCTCGGGGTGGAAGCCGTCTGAACCAAGCCCGACGGCTTCCTTATGGCCGAAGGCCAAGCTGGCGGCCGGGCTCTCCAGGCAGACGGCAAACGTTCTGCAGGAAGCTGTGCAGACCGCGGCCTCGTCCCTCCAACTGGGGCAAGTCCCTCCCTATCTCTGGGCCTCAGTTTCCCCATCTGAGCAACAAAGGTTAAGATTCAAAAACAGGCCGGGTGCGGTGACTCACACCTGTAATCTCAGCACTTTGGGAGGCTGAGGCGGGCGGATCCCGAGGTCAAGAGATCAAGACCATCCTGACCAACATGGTGAAACTCTGTCTCTACCAAAAATACAAAAAAATTTAGCTGGGCATGGTGGTGCACGCCTGTGGTCCCAGCTACTCGAGAGGCTGAGGCAGGAGAATCACCTGAACCCAGGAAGCGGAGGTTGCAGTGAGCTGAGATTGCGCCACTGCACTGCAGCCTGCTGACAGACCAAGACTCCGTCTCAAAAAAAAAAAAGATTCAAAAACATGGCCGAGCACCAGTCCTGTGGGAGGCTAAGGCAGGTGGATCACTTGAGGCCAGGAGTTCAAGACCAGCCTGGACAACATAGTGAAACCCCATCTCTACAAAAAGTACAACAATCAGCTGGGCGTGGTGGGGCACACCTGAGGTCCCAGCTACTTGGGAGGCCGAGGCAGGAGAACTGCTTGAGCCCAGGAGGTCAAGGCTGCAACCAGCCACAGCTGCACTGCGGCACTCCAGCCTGGGCAACAGAGTGAGACCCTGTCTCAAACAAACCACCCCCTAGACATCAGCTGTCTCTTGGCAGAGAGAAAGCCGCCCGGCCCTGGAGCTGGACCACCCGTATTTCTACCCTGGCTCTGGCACCACGGAGGTGCCCTGGATAAGCAGCCTCCCTTCCCCAGGCCCAGTGTCCCTGAGGGCACACCAGTCGGACTTCTAAAGTTTGACTTTCTCCCTCCTAGCTGGGCTGGAGAGACCTGGAGAGGGAAGTCCTCTCTGGGACTCAGTGCCCCTTCCTGGGAGCGTGGGCACTCTGCCACCCCGGGAAACTCACGCGGACGGCAGCCTGGCACGCGGCCAGGGGCAGCCCCACCAGGCTGGTCCCATTGATGGCAGTCAGGCGGTCCCCGATGCTGAGGGCCCCTGAGCGCTCGGCGGGGCCCCCGTGCAGCAGGTTGGCGATGACGGCCGTGGGCAGCAGGGAGCCCCAGCCCGACTCCACCAGGGCCACACCCAGGCCCTCCCCTCGCCGCTTCTCGAGGTGCACCTGAGACACAGAGGGGACGTGGAGGCTGCTGGGCGGGGCCTGGTGCAGGAACGGGCGGGCAAGGGCCGGGCGGGGGCTGCCCAGCGCCTCACTCACCTCCCTGCAGTTGTCCCTGTTGGAGAAGTGGTCCAGGTCCCCGTTGTGGAGGTGGCCGGGGCCGGCGGTGCCCAGGCTCGGGTGCGTGCCCACCTGGCTGGGGTCAATGCCGCTTTCCCGCAGGAACTGGCTGTAGGCGGCGGCGAAGGCCTGGCCGATGGCCTGGGCGATGAGTTGGGCCTGCGGGGAGGGGCGGCGTGTCCCTGGGGAGTCCCACCCCCCTCCTCCAGGTTCCCGAAGTCCCCAGGGTCCTCAGAGCTCAGCCCTCCTATCCCCACCTGGGGTGAGAGTCCCAGGACTCAGCCTCCTGCCCTAGGGCTTTGTGGGGAGCTGGCGAGATGGCCGGATCCTCGGGTGTCTACAGGGAGAAGGGAGGGGGGGCAGCCCTGGGCTGGGGGACAATGAGGGAGCAGCTCCCTGTGCACGGCCTGTGGGAAAAGCTACCAGAGGGCCAGCCAGGGGGCCTGGGGCTGATGGGTCCCATCAGGGGTCCCACAGGGACAACCCAGGAGCGGGCAAGGTTTCGGGGAGTCGGCTGAGTCTTGGAGGCTTATGGGAGGCTGGGCGAGGTGGCTCACGCCTATGATCCCAACGCTCTGGGAGGCCGAGGTGGGTGGATCGCTTGAGCCCGGGAGTTTCCTACGTTTACCTGGGCAACAGACTGAGCGAGAACCTGTCTCTACAAAAAATACAAAAATTAGCCAGGCGTGGCAACATCCCTGTGGTCCCAGCTACTAGGGAGGCTGAGGTGGGAGGATCACTTGGGCCTGCGGGGTGGAGGCTACAGGTGCACTTCGGCCTGGTGACAGGGAGACCCTGACCCAAAAAAAGAATGCAAAAATAAGCTTCTGGGTGGGAGGTTAAGTGCCAGGCGCAGCGGGGGCACCGGCTGCTCACGTCCTCCGCGTGGAATACGTGGCACAGCATCCTGTGGAGGCGGCCGTGGTCCTGGGGTGCCGGCCCCCGTGTCCGCCGCCGCCGTGCGATCAGCACCAGCACGCAGCCGATGTCGGCGATGTAGGAGATGGTATGCAGGGCGTGGTCCATCATGGCCTCCTGCGGGCGGGAGAGGCAGCCTGCGTGGGCTGGGGGCCGTGCCAGGCCCAGTCGCCTCACCCTCGTCCCTGGGGTCAGGTCCCTGCCCCGCACCTGGGAGTCCGCCGTCAAGACCTTGATCCTCTTGGTGGAGACGAAGAGGTCCACCTCTGTCATGGGCTGGGTCTCCCCGTCGGGCGCCTGTGGGTGCAGTGTGGGAGGTGGCGGCCCCCGCAGACCCAGCCCGCAGCCTACCGCCCGCCCCCCCCCGGCCCCTCTTCTCACCTTGACGCGCTCCATGGCCTCCCGGGCCTGGGCCATGCGCATGCTGGTGGGCGGGTTCCGCTCGGACACCAGCTGAGTGGAGCCCAGGTACCTGGCCCCAAATATGACACCATCCAGAAGGTCCTCATGGTCACAGGGACCAGGAACTGAGGGTGACAGCAGAGCAGGTCGGCCCTCGGAAGCCCACTCCCATGGGCTCTGCGCTGGGGCTGCGCTCTCCAGATGGTTAGGAGGCAGAGTTCTAGCTGTTGGCTTAGCACTCTCCAGCCAGGAAGCACCGCCCACTGTTCTAGAACCATCCAAGCAGCTTGGCCCGCACAGGCTAGAGCCTTCTGTTCACCCCTCAAGGACTCACAGAGCGGAAAGCCAGTGAGTCCAGACGATGGCTGGATTAAAAGCCAGATGTAGCACCCACAGATACCTTCACCCCGGGTTCCCAGAATTCCAAGATCAGGCCAGAACCAGACGGTCCCACTCTATTTTAAATAATTTATTTTTTTTGAGACAGGGTCTTCTCTGTCACCCAGGCTGGAGTGCAGCGGCGCGATCTCGGCTCACTGCAGCCTCCGCCTCCCGGGTTAAAGCGATTCTCTTGCCTCAGCCTCCTCAGTGGCTGGGATTACAGGTGCCTGCCACCACACCCGGCTAATTTTTGTATTTTTAGTAGAGATGTGGTTTCGCCACGTCGGCCAGGCTGGTCTCAAACTCCTGGCCTCAAGCGATCCGCCCGCCTCGGCCTCCCAAAGTGCTGGGATGGCAGGCGTGAGCCACCGCGCCCAGCCCACGCCTATTTCTAAACCTTACAACATTCTAGAATGATAGTTGTCCCCTGCTTCTTGGTTCTGGAATTCCCTCAATCAATCGAGAGCCGCCCAACTCTGCCCACTGCTCTAGAACTGTCTCCGGCCAGCCAGGGACAGCAGGCAGTTCTGTTCCCGGCTTGTAGAACTGCCCAGGATAGAAAGAGAACTGGCACATGTCGAATATTCCCACGCAGTCCAGAACCACAGCTGGGTTCTGACCCTCGATTCCAGAACTCTCTGACAGGTCTCATCGCAATTCTGTCAGAAGTTCTAGAAACGTACTCTCACTCTAGAATCGGACTTCTCTGCGCCATGATTCTGGAACAGCTTAACCACCATAGCAGCAGGCAGCTCTTCCCGTGGTTCCAGAATCTCCTTCAGTAGTTCACACCTTTGGCTACACCGGGGATTCCAAGACTACTCCTAACCCAGCCCACAGTACATAAAGCTTTACTCCTGGCCAGGCACAGGGGCTCACGCATGGAATCCCAGCACTCTGGGAGGCTGAGGCGGGTGGATCACTTGAGATCTCACCAGGAGTTCGAGACCAGCCTGGCCAACAGGGTGAAACCCCGCCTCTATTAAAAATACAAA